TATATGAGATATTACATCATATGTATCGTCTGTATTTTCCTACCCATCTTGAGTAAATATTTTTTCCATCAAAAAAAAAAAAACCAAACTTGTTACTCTGCAATCTTGACTTGCTGCTTGCCCTTTTGTGTTAGAATATATGTGTACATAATCTGCAGTGGTCCTAAGAGCCTGTTGCTTCTTGTGCATTTCTGGTGGGTGGGGAACCCAAAGGCTTTGCCTGTCTGTAAATTAATCTTTAAGTATCTTGCAAGAAGAAATAATTAATCATCCTTTTTTAGCTTTATGCACAGATGAGTAACCCTAGTACTAACCCAGGAGCACAGCCTGTTCACCCATCTTGTCACCTCTACCATCATATTCCCAAGCTTTTTACTTTCTCAGTTATTCTGGCTGTGGGGGCAGGAGCAGAAGGCATGTTAGTTTTCCCTAGGATAAGAAATCTCTTACTCTGCAAAATCTTTCTCAAGCCTATTAATTTCACTTGAGAGTACATTTGAAATAATAAGTTGGTTTAGACACATGATATTTGACACTGTGGTATCCTCTTGATTGTATTTCTTCAGGGTCATGTTTTCATAGAATTTGGGAGCTAGATTTTAGGCTGAGCTTATAGTTCTTCATTTGTGTCTTTTTCATTCACATAGAGCAGGTTGGGGATAGAGATGCTCAGTTTGAGCTTGTTGGTACTGAAAAATAAGAAAACCAAATTTGAAATGGAATGTACTTTTAGAGGTTATATATGAAAGAAAACATTATTTACTCCATAATGGTAATTTTCATAATATTTTAGTAGTTGTGTTCAGATACAACTTGACCTTAAATATCACCCCAAATGCAAGCTGTTTTAACATATTTGTAATGCTAAGGTCTTCATTACTGTGATATTCTGTTTACTCAAGGATTATAATCCATGGATATACTGCGTTATAGTTGAAATAAAGCTTTGATCCTGTAGTCACTGCCTCTTGGATCTCAGTGTTACATTGCATGTTCGAGCTGGATGTAAATTGGTGGCTGCTGTAGCCAAGTGTGTGAACAGTGAGTAGGCCAGTGATAAGTACTTTGCTTAGGTATGAAATTTATTTTCCTCTGTTCTGATAGACAATATTAATCTGCTGAGGGAAGATTAGAATCTCAGAAGTTTACTGCTGGAAAATCCCAATGTAATGAATCCCAGATCGATTATTTGCACTCTTCCTATTGTTTCACAGTAACTGTGAGCTAAATTACTTCAGATACGCGATTACTCACAAGATGTAGATAGAGATACTTAAACCCTTGCAAAGGAAACAGGTGGGGAAAAAATGGTTCTTTAGTACATCCTCCTGCTGTGTGAAGCTCTTTGTCTTTGCCATAAATAGGGTGATTTAATTTGGGAATTTGCTACTCCTTTTAAACACAGTTGAAACAGCTCTTGAAAACGCGCTAAGTTGTACCCGCTGTGTATATAGCCTTCCAGTTGTATCTTTTTCATTTGACTTACTTTGGATACGTCTGTTTTAACGCATACAGATAGGAAGTATGCTCACTTCTTCCATAAGTTTTATCGCTAGTCATGATGATCTTAAAAATAAATGTGTGGTGTTCTTTCTCCTCACTCTCAGTCGTATCACCTACCCGAAAGCCTAATAGGCAACAAAATAGTGTGAGACGGTATTTACATCACACTTTTGAAACAGATTCAAGCAGAGCCAGCTGCTGTAAGATTATTTTACGAATCTATTGCAAATTAATAAAAGGAAAAACTTGCCTTCCTTTAAGTAAATTACAATCTCCTTGACTAATTCTGCTTGAAGCCGCAGTAAACGAGTACCTGCCTCACTGCGCTGTTGGGAAATGTGATTTTGGTATCCAGACTCGCCTTTCTTTACCCATTTAGTCTGTATGTGTTCCCAATAGCTTCATTCACGGAGCTCTGACTGTTGCTCAATAAAAGCTTCCGGAGGATAATGTGCTCAAGTGAAGCACATGCAGGCAGCTTTGTTCAGCGCGGCCGAACCTGCGCGCTGCGCTCCGCGGCC